CCCTCAGAGAGGGTCCGCAACTTGGGTGTCCTCCTGGATTCGCAGCTGACGTTAGAACGTGGCACGACAAAACCGCGCTCGACTAAGCCGCGCCCGATTAAACCGCGTCGCTGACGTCATCAACAGGGCGACAACAGCCAGGGGGGAGAAAGAAGGGCGCTTTAAATAGCGCTTTGAAAGCAAGCCGATTCAAGTTAAGGTAAGGGTTAGGGTTAGGGTTAAGTTTAGGGTTAGGTTTAGGTTTAGGTTTAGGGTTAAGGGTTAGGGTTAGGTTTAGGGTTAAGGGTTAGGTTTAGGGTTAGGTTTAGGGTTAGGTTTAGGATTAGGTTTAGGGGGGTTAGGTTTAGGGTTAGGTTAAGGGTTAGGGTTAGATTTAAGGTTAGGTTAAGGGTTAGAATTAGGTTTAGGGTTAGGTTTAGGGTTAAGTTAAGAGTTAGGTTTAGGGTTAGGGTTAGGGGGGTTAGGTTTAGGTTTGGGGGTTAATTTTAGGTTTAGGGTTTACAGCGTGCTTCTGTCTCTGCGCTGTTGTCGCCCTGTTGATGACGTCAGCGACGCGGTTTAGTTGGGCGCGGTTTAGTCGAACGCGGTTTTGTGGTGGAACCGTTCCATGCACACATTGATCATTGGCCTTGTTGCTGCTAGAAATGCACTTAATTCCATCCATGCCTGGGTTCGTGCACGCTAGGCATTAATAGGGTTAGACTGTGCCTGAGCATGTTGCATGGGACCAGTTGCTTGTAGGTTCCTCAGGAAAACACAACTAAGTAAGAGCACATTGTAATGAGCAAATCAGGTCAGGGACACCATCAACATTAGAATAGGACGTGTTGGCTTCTCCACTCTTGAATCTCCCGCAAGGAAAGCTCATTTAGGAGCTGCACATAAATTGTTCAACTTCTACCCTCAAAACGACACTGTAGGGCTGTGATGGCGAACCAGGCGTGCCCAAAGTGGCATGCCAAGCCATGTCGCCTGGCACATGCGACCTTGCCTGCTTGTCTTCTCGGTTTCTGGTACGCACGTGATGATCAGCTGTCCGTCATGCACGGCAGTGTCAAAAACCAGTGACACCATCCACATTAGAAAAGGACATGTTGCCTTCTCCACCCTTGGAGCTCCACCAAAAAAAGTTCCTTTAGGAGCTGCACACAGTACCATATAATTTACTACATATGCCGTGAATGGAATAGCAGTCGTACTAATAAGAGGTTCTATGTTAGCACACGGGGCCTAATTTTAAGCCTACAGCCAAGCTCCCTGATGTCAGGAGTTACCAAGAACGCTAAAATCAGACCGTCTACCTGTAGTAGATGTTGTACACACAGGAAGTGAGAGGCATCTTCTTCGGCTGAGCCCAGGATAAAGTGATGTTGCCCAAAAAGTCAGCTGTCCATTGAAGATTCTGAACCTTATAGACGAGGGTATCATCTATGTAAAAAAAGAAAGAAAGAAAGATTTCCTGAGTTTTAAAAGAACTGGAAAGGAGGAATTGAGTTTAAAGAGCCGTGATGGTGCAGCGGTTAGAATGCAGTACTGCAGGGCTAACCCACTGCTCACTGTCGGCAGTTCGATTCTGATTGGCTCAAGGTTGACTCAGCCTTCCATCCTTCCGAGGTTTGGTTAAATTGAGGGATTGTTGGGGGACAATAGGCTGACTCTGTAAACCGCTTAGAGTGGGCTGTAGAGCATTGGGAAGAGGTATATAAGTCTACGTGCTATTGCTAACTCTGCCCACTGCCAGCAATTCGATCCTGACTGGTTCAAGGTTGACTCATCCTTCCATCCTTCCGAGGTTCAGTAAAATGAGGACCCAGATTGCTGGGGGCAATATGCTGATTCTGTAAATGACTTAGAGAGGGCTGTAAAGCACTGTGAAGTAGTCCTCAGTGGAGTTGCTTCTGCTGACCCTCCTTCTTGGTCAGATCCAATTTGAACTGAGCTGTTTTTGCCAATTCTTTCTCATGGTGGCTGCTTAACTCCAGCTTCCTGTTGGGGCCCTAAGGAGCCCGGGCAGGCAGGCGAGGAATGGCTGGGAGGGGAGGAGCGAGTCGAGGCTGGCAAAGCGCCCCTCGACATGAGTGACTTTGAGTTGCCCACGCCCACCCAGTCACATGACCACCTAGACACGCCCACCCAGCCAGTCATTAGGCAGATCATATTAGTGGTCCGCGGGACTCAAAATTATGAATTTAGTGGTCCCTGAGCTCCGAAAGGTTGGTGACCCTTGCTCCGCCCCGCCAGCCTCATTGGATGGAATACAGGTGGTCCATAATTGGGGCTGGAATTCCAGTCACAGATCATCGGAAAGGCTGGCCAGAGACCATAATAAAGATATTTGATTTGATTTGATTCCAGTCGGCTTAATTCTTTTTTTTTGGATTTCTATTTAAAGGCCATGACTTACCGGTACAATTCTTTTCGTCACTGCTATCCGGGCAATCCAGAAAACCGTCACATCGTTCCGTCTTCATGATGCAGGCCTCCCTATCTTCACATCTGAATCCACTAGGGCATAACAAGGTGCTGTGAGTGGCTGGAAGACAGAAGAACATACAACACTGCCATCTTGCAACAAGTAGACGGGGCGGATTCACTTAGTTGCCTTGCATTAAGTAATCGGTTGCCCTACTTTGAATAGTAGAAGCTTTCCTGGATTTTGGTGCTGTTTCTTTTCCTAAAAGCGTAGTCGAGCTTTATAGCCATCACGACTGTTGGGTTTGTGCAGTCATGATCAACCAACACGATGGTTTTGTATGAGCTACTTGAATCAAATGAATGGAAAAGCAAGCAACCATAGTTTACTCATCACAACTGGGTCTGTCCATTCATGACCAACCAAAGTTTTGTACCATCCAATTAAGGGGTGGGGAACTTATGGACTTCAACTCCCAGAATTCGTAAACCAGTCATGTTGGCTCAGGAACTCTGGGACTTGAAGTCCACAAGTCATAAAAGGGCCATCGTTCCCCACTTTCTGATCTACCATATTTGTCGGACTATAAGACGCACCGGTGTATAAGACGCACCAAGATTTCGGAGAGGTAAGTAAGAACAAAATTTTTTTGCCCTCCTAGCTCCCAGGAGCACTCTGCAGGGTTCAGTGGGGCTGGGGGAAGGCAAAAACACCTCCGGTTTTTTGCAAAAAACGATCCGTTTTTGCCCATTTTTTGCAAAAAAGGGATGTGGGGGCGGGGCTTCGGGAAGCCAACAATGGCTATATTAGGTGTATAAGACGCACCAACATTTCCACGCTCTTTTATGGGGGGGGGGAGAGAGGTGCATCTTATATTCTGAAAAATACAGCAATTGAATCAAATTAAAGGAGAAGTGAATGGTTTAGTCATACTTCCTCCTTTTTTCTTTTCCCTCTCCCGTCTCCTTTTTCTTATCCTCTCTCCTACTCTTAATTCCCCACCCTTACTTTTTCTACTTTACTCTTTCTTCTTTTCCCTCCTCCTCCTTCCTCCTTTCTTCTTCCCATCTCTTTCCCCTCTCCTTCTCCCTTCCCCTCTATCCTCTTGCTCTTAATTCCCCATCCTTACTTTCTCTGCTTTACTCTTTCTTCTTTTCCTTCCTCCTCCTTTCTTCTTCCCCTCTCTTTCCCCTCTCCTTCTCCCTTCTCCTCTTTCTTCCCCTCTATCCTCCTGCTCTTCATTCCCCACCCTTACTTTCTCTCCTTTACTCTTTCTTCTTTTCCCTCCTCCTCCTTTCTTCTTCCCCTCTCTTTCCCCTCTCCTTCTCCCTTCTCCTCTTTCTTCCCCTCTATCCTCCTGCTCTTAATTCCCCACCCTTACTTTCCCTGCTTCACCCTTTCATCTTTTCCCTCTTCATCCCCCCCCCCCTTTCCCTTGTTGCCCTTACTGATTTATTTTCTCCGACGGATTCGCGGGGCGGCGTTTCAGCAATCCCCACTTTATATTTTCATACAAATCATATTGAGCCACGTTTTTGAACTCGTGTGGATGCGTGCAAGCCACGCGCGCAGACAAAGTGCATGCGTGGGAGGTGCACACACTCACAAAGGGAGCATGTGCGCGCGGGGTAACCTCGGCGGTAGACCCCGTTGAAACCCATCTCTGGTTCCCAGCATTGTCCGGTAAGAGAGAAGGCAAGGGGATCTCCTGGGACAGCAGGGCTCCTTCGGGAGTTCCCCGTAAAGCCAACGAAAACTTACGGCAGTTCAGTTCATCCGTGCCGTCCTGGCAATCTTTCAAGCCATCGCAGTGTTTCCAGTTCGGGACGCACTTCTTGGTCTTCTGGCACTCAAATTCAAAGCGGCTGCACCGTCCATGAACACTGGCTGATGTGGAACTGGCACCAACAGCTGGGTGGGCAGAGGGTGTGGGGAGGAAAAACATGCATTATCGGAAGCCATAGAGATGCCATTACCCTGTTTCATTCGTGTTCCTGAACCTGGGTTGTTTTAAGATGTGTGGACTTCAACTCCCAGAATTCTCCAGCCGCCCGGCTGGAGAATTCTGGGAGTTGAAGTCCACACATCTTTAAACAACCCAGGTTCAGGAAGACTGTATTGGTTGGGCTACCATGTATATTCATAGGGAAGGCCGGTTTCTTTGTCTCCCGTACCACCAGATGGCAGCCTGAAGCTGTTGAGACTGGAGAAGACATGGCTGCTGCTTCCAAGCCAGGAGCTGATCCAGGGGTCGGCAACCTTAAACACTCCAAGAGCCATACAGGTCCTAACCGGAAGCCCCCCGGGTTCAATTCTGGAGCTGACTGGAAGTCCGGTTCCCCGCTCCATAGAGTCTCTTCCTAGCATGGCATCCTTTTTCCTCTACCTTTCCTTAAACACTCCAAGAGCCATACAAGTCCTAACCGGAAAGCCCCCCAGGTTCAATTCTGGAGCTGACTGGAAGTCCAGTTCCCCCCTCCATAGAGTCTCTTCCTAGCACGGCATCCTTTTTCCTCTACCTTTCCTAACTGAAAACCTATCCTATTGTGGAGCCGACCAGCGACAGGGAGCCGCAGCAGAGGGATGAAAGAGCCACATGCGGCTCCAGAGCCGTGGGTTTCTGATCCTTCCTAGTCCTAAATCTGAGCCATCAGAAGCTGGTGCACTCAGTCACATCTGGGCTGGCTACTTGGGCAGAAACGACGGCTTCCCCATCCAACCAAAGCAGAGATGTTCACGTATCATTCCTTTATGGAATTAGTCCTGCGAAAGAACCTTGGCGTGTCTGAAGAAGTTCAACCACTTTACGTGGGACTTTAGTCAGGATTGTCCTCTATGAGTTAGCAGTGGCCCCTAACAATTTTTCAAAACTTGGTGTCCCTGAGATATACTGAACTTGGGTCTCCTCTTTCTCCTCCCCACCCACCCCAAAAAATATTCACCCTCTTCTAGCACTGAAGATGTTCCCTAGGTGGGTAATGGAACTTCTGCAAGAAAAAACACCAAGCTCAGAGACTAACAAAGACCCCCACAGTTCTACTCTTCCTCCTTCTCCTTCCTCCTACTTGTCCTCCTCCCAGTATAATATGCAAATGGATCCATATGGACTTAATGCACAACCAGGCCATTAATGCTTGCTCTTCAACCCCCTTGCTAAAAAAACATCCTGCCTTATTATTATGAGTGAATGTAGCATACCTCCAGTGGCTACAGGTGGTTAACTGATAGTACTGGAAAGCAACTTAATTAATTAATTAATTAATTAATTACATGCCTCACATGATTGAGATTGGTACCAGAAGTGCATATTGAGATACTGAATAATGGAAGAAAGAAAGAATGGAACTTTAATATAAACAGAGGCGAAGAGCTAAATAATAAGATAAAGGTTCCCCTCTCGCACATATGTGCTAGTCGTTCCTGGCTCTAGGGGGCGGTGCTCATCTCCGTTTCAAAGCCGAAGAGCCAGCGCTGTCTGAAGACGTCTCCGTGGTCATGTGGCTGGCATGACTAAACTCCCGAAGGCACACGGGACAGTTACCTTCCCACCAAAGGTGGTCCCTATTTTTCTACTTGCATTTTTTACCTGCTTTTGAACTGCTAGGTTGGCAGAAGCTGGGACAAGTAACGGGAGCTCACTCCGTTACGCGGCGCTAGGGATTTGAACCGCCGAACTGCCGACCTTTCTGATCGACAAGCTCAGCGTCTTAGCCACTGAGCCGCCGCGTCCCTATATTGATATGTGTAAACAATATAAAATTAAAAAAACTTGATTTATAAGCCAAGCCATTAACGCTTGTTCCTCAACTCCCTTCTGTCTTATTATTATGAGTGAATGTAGCATATCTCCAGTGGCTTCAGGTTGCTAAGGGATGGCACTGGGAAGCAAATTAATTATCTCCTGGGAGTTTGTCTTTGCTGTGATTCCTTCCTGAACATCTGGCAGCTCTTAGGTCTTCTCCATCTGGCTTCCACGTAACGTGTCGTGTTGCGTAACACAAGGCCCACGAACGACGCGATTTGTGTCGTTTGCACAGCGGTGTGAGGTCCTTTTCTCCCCTTCTTGCCCAACCCACCAAAAC